TGTTAAACCCTTCACAAGTTTTGTTTAAACTTTTTTTTGTTATTACAACAGCAATTCTAGTATAAAGGACGCCATCTTGAAATTTTTAAGTTGTCATAACTTCTAAATGCCTCAATCGATTTCAAGAAGCGGCGGCTCATTTTATAGAACTATTAATAAAATTTATTTTTATGATATGGGAATAAAAATATTATTTTCCTGCACAACGGTACGCGACGTTAATCAGAAAAGTTTTGAAATTGTCTCCGTTTACTAAAAAATTAAGTGCAACTACCTATATAGGTTTTTTCCCATGACTTGATAGGCCATTTATTAAGGAAAACAAATACACAAACCGGAAGTCGATATCCTTGTTCATTTTCAAAATAGTGAAGTTGTGCTAGAAGATCCTCCTTTATTTAGTTCTCTAAATAACATCGACATAGTCCAAGTTTCCATAACGAGGCAGGCTATGTCCTGTCACCCTATAGAGATAATTATTTGTTATCACAATGCACCTAAACAAAAAAAAAATGGAGATAATTTACTTAAATGTACTTAAATATTATTTTGTGGCATGAAATGTTCAATAGTCTTACAAACAGATCCAAGATAAGATAAGAGATTAAACAAATTTTCGCATACAAAACACCGCTTAATCTCTCAAACGGTTTTTGAAAAATTGAAATCGGTTGATTAGGACAGCCACAGTAAATTTTTAAAGTTAACACTCTTTTTTTATTTTTAATAATTGTTTAAAAATAAAGAAAGAGTGTTAACTTTAAAAATTTACTGTGGCCGTCCTAAACAACCGATTCCAATCTTTGAAAAACTATTTAAAAGGTTGAGCGGTCTTTTCTGTGTGAAAAAATTAGGTATCTATATTAGGGTGGCCCAAAAAAAAATTTTTTTTCTTCGTGACTTGTGAAAATATGTTAGTTTATCATGTTTTAAGAGCCCCCTTACAAAAAACAACTCAAAAAAAAAGTATTTTAGAGGTCGCTCAAGATTTTTTAAAATTTCCAAAATCGTAAAAAAAGTTTTTAATTTTTTTTCTCGTTTTTTTATCATTTTCTAGGTTGAAAAAAATCTATTCTGAAAATTTCAAATTGATATTTTAATTTCTAAAGGTCACTCATAATTATTTTAACTTTCAAAGTAGTGTATCTGTTTTCGAGCGACTTCTAAAAATAAATATCAACGAACTAATAATTTTTTTTATTGAATTTGATGAACAAAAAAATAGAAATAAATCACGAGACACTTCAATTTTAAAAAATTGAAAAATTATAAATTTTTGTACTCACAGTGCGGTAGTGTGACACATTTTTAAGTGTCTCGTGATTTATTTATATTCTTTTGTTCATCAAATTCAATAAAAAAAAATATTAATTCGTTGATATTTATTTTTAGAGGTCGTTCGAAAACATATTAGGTACACTACTTTTAAAGTTAAAATAATTATAAGTGACCTTTAGAAATTAAAATATCGATTTGAAATTTTCAGAATCGAGATTTTTTTCAACCTAGAAATGGATAAAATGCCGAGAAAAAAAAATAATAAAAAAATGAATTTTTGACGATTTTGGAAATTTTCAAAAATCTTGAGTGATCTAAAAATTTTTTTTTTCAGCTGATTTTTTTTTGGGGGCTCTTAAAACAAGATAAACTAACATATTCGTTTTTTTTTGGGCCACCCTAATCTAGATGCTTTGTTTGAGGCTGTGCAACATTTTGAAAATTCGAAGTTTTTTTTAAAAAAATTATTTTGCGAAAACTATCCAACGGATTTTAATGAAATTTGGGGTGTTGTTTTATTATACTCTAAAGTTTTCTTTACCAAAATTAGAATGCCCTCGGAGCAATTAAAATATTAACAAAATATATCCAAGAAACTTGACTATTTTCCCTTTTTTTCATCAATTATTGTTATTTTGTAACATCAGTAATAGATTAAAACATTTTTAATTTACAGTATATTGTGCAAAATTGTTCTCTCGATTATTTGCAAGATTATGCACGACACTTTTAATACCTCTAATGATCCTCAACTTACATTTTTTTAAATTGAAAAATCGCCAATTATGCTGTGATAAAATCAAATTTTGAGATATAAACGTTCCTTATTGTAAGGACATAGAACAGTTATTGTTACTAATGTCATTGAAATACAACAATTTGTAGATAAAATTAATAAAAACAGTTTACTATCACCAGAATCTCCAGCTAATTTTTAAAAATGTAGGGAAAACTAATGAATCAATCTTGTAGCATATTAAATATTTTTAAAAATGAATGTTCGGTAAATAATACATACCTCATTGAAGATAATAAAATTATATTGCACTTCTAAAGAAAAGTGTTGATGTATATTTAATGGAAACCTTTTACTTCATCAACAATATTTATAATCATTCCACGTGCCTATAAATATTTAAGACTACTCTGGAACTGTTATCTGTCCTCACATAAGAACACTAAAAACTATTTGTAATAAATTTCATAGACTTTATCAAAGAAAATAGTAATATCTTATTGTCTAAAATAATTGTTTTCTCAAAATTACAATATATTTTGATAAACTGTAATTAGATACAGGGTGTTAAAAAAGAGTGTAAAATATTTAAGGAGGTAATAGTATGAACCAAAATAAGCAGAAAAGTCTTAATAAACATGGGTCCGCAAAGTAACGGTTGCGGAGATATGGACCACTATTCGTTTTTCAAACATTTTATTTTATTAGGAATAAACCGACAAAGGAAGCTTTTAACAAACAAAAAACAAAGTTACAGAAGATGTTCAAAGTGCCCTCCGTCCATTTCCAAGCAGGCACGACATCTTCGTCTCAACGATATTCGAACTCTTTCGAAAACACCCTCCTTGGTTTGGATTTCTTGACACTTTTGATTAATCCGTAGCTGCAGCTCTTCCAGGCTATTTACAGGAGTACCATACACTAATGTCTTCAAATATCCCCAAACAAAGAAATCTAGAGGGTTCAGATCAGGCGATCTTGGAGGCCATAAAACAGGTCCGGCCCTTCCTACCCATCTATGTGGAAAAGTTTGGTGTAAATGCTCTCTAACGGCCATGGAAAAATGAGCTGGAGCACCATCATGCTGGAACCACATTTGTTGCCTCTGATTCAAAGGAATGTCTTCCAAAAACTCATACAGTGTGTTCTGCAGAAAGTTGAGGTAAGCAGCGCCTGTTAATCGGTTTGGTAAAACAACAGGACCTAGAAACCTGTCACCTACAATACCCATCCAAATGTTTAATGAAAAACGTGCCTGATGTCCAGATTCTATTAGAGCATGAGGATTTTCGTCGGCCCAAATATGCGTATTGTGAAAATTAAACACTCCATTTCTTGTGAACCCGGCCTCATCAGTAAAAAGAATGTTTGCAAGAAAACGAGGGTCTTCAGCATCATGACGTAGAAACCAGCGGCAAAAAACCAAACGTGCTTGATGATCATTTATTGGATTTAAGGCCTGTACTCGTTGCACATGGTATGGATAAAGCAGTTGCTCGTGAAGGATTCTCCAAACAAGAGGACCACTAATTCCTACCTCGGCTGATATTCTCCGCACACTCGTACCTGGATTCTGCTCTACCAGTGCTAGAATTTCTTCTTCTGCTCTAGGAGTGGATACCGACCTTGGTCTTCCGGATAAATGGCACTGTTTGCTCAAGGAACCGGTATCACGCAATCTTTGGTGAATTCTTCCAAACATGCGTTGTGAAGGAATCTGGCGATTTGGATAAGCGTCAACATAAAGACGTCGCGCTTCGGTGGCGTTCCCATTAGCACGACCATACATGAAATGCATGTCTGTTAATTCTGCGTTAGAGTAACCAGCCATAGCGAAAGAAAACTTGTGCACTGAGAACAACTGTCAAATACGTACTGTTTATTTCACTAAACATCAACCAACTATTATAAGAAAATACACAACGTTTTGCAAAATAAAAAAAGGGGCTAAAAAAACATAAAACATTCCATGTCTCCGCAACCGTTACTTTGCGGACCCATGTTTATTGAGACTTTTCTGCTTATTTTAGTTCATACTATTACCTCCTTAAATATTTTACACTCTTTTTTAACACCCTGTATACTTAATTCGAACATAGAAATAATAGGGTATTAAAACACATATTTTTTTAAAATTTTTTCATTACTACCTTAAATTTGGAGACAATTCAATCACAGTCTGAGCAAAGCGAAGGCTCCTTCTTTGGCTAAACTGAGCGATTTTTGGGTCCATTTTTTCTCTAAATACAGGGTGAGTTTTTTTCGATGTTTCCCCAGATCCCTGGGAAAGTAGCAAAATACAAAAAAGTTTAAATGAGGAAAGATATGCAGTTTTATGATCCTTATTAAATGTTACTTTTATTTTTTGAAAAAACGTCATGGCTGACTAGATGTTTGGAAAAATCCAAATTCGGTCAATTCCTTCAGATGCGTGTAGCTCCGTTGCTATTTATTTTACAAAAAAAAATAAATTACAAGGTTTCAGGTTTTTGCAGTGTTAATAAGACTGTGTGATCGAATTGTTCGTGTGGACTTTCATTTTCAAGTTATAACATAAACTTCAAGTTCTTTAAATATAAACCATAGTTGGCTATGAACTAAAAAAATGTCTTTTTTATGGTTTCCAACGATATAATATTTGGTATGGTTATTTTGAAAAATGGGGGAACTGCAGCCGTTTTTGTCTATGGCTTACATTTAAAAAACTTGAAACTTGAACTTGAGGACACTACATAAAAAAACTACCCAATCGACCACTGGAATGTAACTATAAAATTAATAAAGACTATCGTACTTGTATCACTTTATTTATGTATCTATTTGAAATAAAATATGCAATAATATATCAATATGACGGAAATGGTATAGCTTGACCAAATTCATCGAGCATCAGATGTGCGTGACACTTGCTCTTGTCTTCGTCTCTCCTAGGTAGACTCCCTTCTTCTGCGCATCTGTCGGACAGGATGGATTTGGTCAACTTGTATCTATTTAAACCTTCTCGATCTTCAACCAAATACCTCCAATGGGAGAGGTAAACTTTTCATGTGGATTCATTTTCAAAGGCAATTTAGTCTTCTCGCTTAAAGTAACTTGAAAGTCCTTCAAAATGGATGTCAGACCGACTTTAGTTTGTAGAATCCCAAATCTTTCACCTGAAAATCAATTACTAATAAGTACACTATTCACTTGTTCTCTCAGCCCTCGAAGGGGGGTGGGGGGAGTTCAAATAGTGCGGAGAGAAAAAATATGAATAGTGTTCAATTTGCAAATTGGCCAGTCATATTCACGTCAAGACGTTTCAAAACATCTTATCTTGATGAGTCCCTTCTTGAGAAAAAAAAAACAATATTCCTTTCTGGACTCTGATGACCTGCGGTTTAGTAAAATCAGTTTTTTTGACCACAAGAATCTGGCAGCTTGTAAAACCAATGCAGAGGGCTACCCTGCACAGTCACGGCACTTACCAATACACACTCTGGGTCCTTCCCCAAACGGCAGATGGGCGTAGGGATGCCTGGCCTTTTTATTCTCCGCACTGAACCTGTCGGGGTCAAAAACTTTGGGATTCTTGTAGTGGTCTTCGTCGTAGTGTATACCTGATGCAGGTATAAAGACCATGGTGCCTTTTTCTAAGATAAAGTCTTGACCAGGTATTTTGTAGTCTTCGGCACTTTCTCTTGTCAAAAGTGGAAGCGGAGGGTACATCCTGAGGGTTTCTGGAAAAAACAAGGTCATGTTTATTGTCATTTTTATATGCGTCTGTCACTGTCTGTAGACCGTAATTTCCACGTACAGACAGAATAAGCAAGAGAAGCGTTTGTAACATTTCCAACGAAATGAACTATTGCTAATGGTGAAATGAAACTCTCTCTCAACGGTATACAGGGTGGTCCGAATTTTATGCAGGAAACTTCCAGGACTGATAGAACTCTTTAAAATAATAGGTGTTTGCCTTATAAACATAGGTCTGGAACGGCCTCGTTTTAGAGATACAGGGTGTTGAAGTTGTTAAAAAAAAAATTAATTTTTTGTTTATATCTCCGGAATCTATTAACCGATCTGAACAAANATATAAACAAAAAATCAAATTTTTTTAACAACTTCAACACCCTGTATCTCTAAAACGAGGCCGTTCCAGACCTATGTTTATAAGGCAAACACCTATTATTTTAAAAAGATCTATATGCCCTCGAAGTTTCCTGCATAAAATTCGGACCACCCTGTACAACAAGTATCTCTTATTAAATAGAAAAGGAAATAGAAATGTTGTCTGGGCAAGCGTTCATTGGAGACTCCTCTTGTAGGGTCGCTAGCAGGTATCAGTATCCAGTCCCTGGTACACACCTGCACAGTTCGCTGGCCCTTTTCCTGGAACCACAGTGTGTGTCCCGCGTTCCTGATTTTCGACGGTTTCTTGTCGCTTGCAATCGTCAGCTAACCAATATTCTTTATAGGCCAAGAAAAAGAGCAGGGAAATGACCATTTCGCGACTTTTTGTTTCGGCAAGCTGAATTTATCACTATAGATGCTAAATATTATGTACAATAACATATTAGCTTCCACAGTCATAAAAATGGGGGAAGATGGTTTACAGGGTGGTTAATTGTATAATTTTTACGTAAATTCACGTTTTTCGCGTATAACATTTTCCGTTCATTTCCACGAGAAAACAGTAAAGTACTTTTTTTCGTCCTCGAAAGACCTGCAAAACTAGCCCTCGAGTGTCAAAAAATATTGATTTGATCAAAAGTTATAAACAGTAGAAGGTTATTTATTTAATGTTTTAATTAAACACTTATAAACTGCATTATTATTACCAGAACGTGTTGGCATCGCATTCTCATTCCTTATCACTGTCTAATAACTCACACGAAATCTGGAATCGGTAAGTTGAATAGATTACATGTTATTTATTTATTTATTTAGGAAAACGGAACATAAACAGGCTGACTAAGAGCCCAAAACAATGTTCACTAAATATAATTGATTTACAACCAAACATACATATATACACACACATATATACACGTATACACACATCATGCACATACACACATGAACATATACAAACATACACATGCATACAACCAAACATATATACACACACATATATACACCTCTGCACACATTATGCGCATACACACATACACATGCATACATTCACATATATATTACAGTATAGATACAGTATAAATACACTAATAAAATACAATAAATAACAATAAATAACAATAATATAACTATCTGTACTAACGGAATGTTGTTTATTTTAGTGCTCTTTTAAAGCTAACTAGTGACACTCTAAATATATCTACATTGGAAAATAAATTGTTGTAAGTTCTGAACATTCTGTTCAACGGCGAATTTTGTCCAGAGTTAGTTTGATAAAATGACTTGAAATAATGTAATAACTCTAAAACTTCTGGGTGGTACATAAATATTTACAAGACTTAATAAGTTAGGAGAGTCGATTAAATTATTCAGAAGTTTAAACAAAAATATTGCGTCATTCTGGTTTCTATTATTTTCTAAAGATCCAATTTTAAATGTTTGTTGTAGAAAAGCCGAATTCTGGAAAGTATATACCCCGGTCACTTTAAAATTCAGGTATCTAAGAAATTTGTTTTGAATAGCTTCAAGACGGGAGTTATGGGGATTCCAAATGGTTGAAGCAAAATTTATTAAACTATAGACATAAGCAAAATATAACGACTTTAAGGAATTTACCCTTCTAAAATCCTTAGATACTCTGATAATATACCCTAACATCTTACTACTTTTCAATGTAATGGAATCTATATGTGGGGAGAAAGTTAATTTTCTATCAAAAATAACACCTAGGTCTATTATCTCCTGTAAGTAAGAAAGCCTTTTGTTATTGAAGCTATAGTCAGATCTAAATAAATTTTTATTGCGAGTAAAACAAATATAATGACATTTCTTGAAATTTAAACGAAGTTTATTCAGCAAACAGTAGCTATAAAATGTATCATGTATGTATGACCTTATAAACAAATTAACCAATTATTAGTCTGGACGATCCCGAGGATCTTCCACAATCGCATTGATTTTTTTCATAATAATCCGTTGAAATCTATAATTTTTTTTCAAATTTCAAAGCAACCTGGATTTTTTTTTTATTTTTTAGCCGTAGTTGCGAAATGAAATATACGACGCACGCGCGTGATATAGTTATATATTACATATTCGGAAAGCTTATGAAAAGAGCTTTAAGTTAAAAAAAAATCGTCAAGATTCGTTGACAAACAACGGAGTTACAGACTGTCAAAGTTGACGGCCTATTGTTAAACAAATTAGGTTGGTAGCGGCAAAGAGAAATACTGTTATAACGGGCAAACCGAGTACTTTCCCAGATAAAAATATTTTATTTGTGGAAGTATGTTAAGTGCATAAGAAATATTGTCTATTTACTTATATTACAGCTTCAGAGATGTATGCAGGGTGGTCCGAATTTTATGCAGGAAACTTCGATTTTTTGTTTATATCTCCGGAATCTATTAATCGATCTCAATAAAATTTGGTACATATAATGTATGATAGTAGGCCTTATATTCCATCAAATATGAGCTTTAACGGTTCAACTAGTGGTGTACAACTGGACAGGGTACCTCCCTTTTTTACAAAAAATCCTACGCCACTGCATTTCTTACATGTCATTGTAACTGATTTATATTTTAATGCACAAAATACGTAAAAAAGGTGACTTTAATTTTTTCCCTAAGATTCGCCGTTCTCAAGTTATTCATACCAATACGATCCCCTTGTGGCTGACACTTCTAACGATAATATTACAAGAATATTTGTTTATGTTTAAAAGTAAGTGCAATTTGTAAGCACATCACAAAATTATTTACACTCCTTTCTACACCACCTGTGAGGTAGTGTGCGATATAAACAAAAAATCAATTTTTAAATACTTCAACACCCTGCATCTAACGGGGCTGTTCCAGACCAATGTTTATAAGGCAAACACATATTATTTTAAAGAGATCTATCTGAAGTTTCCTGCATAAAATACTGTATATTATGACAGTATTATAAAAAACGACCTATAAAACATGAATATCCCATACCTTGGTAATGAAAACAAACAAGCAGAGCGCGTATATTAACAGAGTGAAAATTTGGTCAAAAATTAATTTTTGTCGGACATATGTGAGTTCAGAGTTATTCATAATTTTGTGAACATAAACAGACATGCGATATTTAAAAAGATTATCTATCTTCAACCAACCGAGTTCCTCTATTTTATTCGAAACGTGATTATATTTCCTTAATCGATATACAAAATGTATCATAAATTTTGAATTTTTTGTAAACAATTTTTCCGCAATTCAATAATGGGGGTACCTATGCCTCAATGAGTTTTCTTCGAACTTTGAAATTCATGTGAATATTCATATACAGGGTGTTTCTTAATAACGTACTAATATTTAAGGAGGTTACTCTTGGGTCCAATTTAAGAAAAAAACTTCATATGAACATATGTCCTAAAAGTCTTAACTTTTGAACTACAGGGTGCTAAAGTTTTATGAAAAAAACATTTTTTTTTATAACTTTGGTATTACCTACCCTAGATATTTTTTCAAATTTGGTACACGCCTTCTATTCATCGAGATGCATTTTATGATGTACAAACAATTTTATTATTTTAGTCAGAGGCGTCTGTACAGGTTTTGTATCGAATATTTTTGAAGAAAAATATGTTAAGCCACTACTTTTTCTTTTAGTAAAAATCGTTTTTGAAATCCTCATTCCTTTCTGAGCAAATGTGGTGTCTTCAATTTTTTTTGTTTGATGTACGGTTTTCGCATAAAAAAATAAAATTCATTAATTTGCTTCTTATTGAACCACTTACGAGAAAAAAAAATTGTGTAACTTTGAACAATAATTTATTTAAGATAATAACTTTTAAACACTGAAATTATGAAATTACAGTAATCTACATACATTTTGG